GTGTGTGTGTGTGTGTGTGTGTGTGTGTGTGTGTGTGTGTGTGTGTGTGTGTGTGTGTGTGTGTGTAAGTAAACACATATGATCATGCTTTTTGTTTTGATTCTTTCATTTAAAAGATATGAAACAAATATGCACACATTTGACCGAGCTTGTTATTGTCTTGTGTCAAATGAGCTAAATAAAGACACAAATAAATAACCTTCATTTACCCTGCATGGTTTGAATAGTGCTAATTAGGGCTCTGAGTGTTTTAATGGACTTTATCTTGATTTGAAGGATTATTATCGAGCTGCTCTCGGTGATTAAGTTTGTGTAAAGGAGGAAGAAGAAGACAGTAAACTTGCGTTATATGAGGAATCAGTAAACTTTGGTCGTCACCACTCACACATGGAACCCTGATGCGGATCTATAAGAGGTCATTGCACTGCTGCAGGTTTTAGCTGCTCGGGCCTGATGTGCAGATGGAAATATTGTCTGGAAACAAAATTATTTTATCCAGTATTTTTCCCAAAATCCAAAACGTTAGATAAAAAAACCCCACAAAACAAATAGAAATTGGCTCCACGAGGCTTATTGAAGAAGTTATATAAAACTTATTTCAAGAATATGGGATGATAATAGTATTTAGCTACAAAAGTAAAAATAAAGAGATAAAAATCCTGCAGCCATGTTTCCAGGCTTTTTTGCGCAGCTTTCATGTGACGCACAAATGTGCGGAGCGCAGTGTTCGGCTGCGGAAAAGGAACCGCTTCCTTCGCTTTGGGGCAAACACACTCTTTCATCAATTAGCCTTTACCTCCCACCACGACTCAGTCCCACATGGAGTTTTCCCCCCAGAAACATATTTAGTTTGAGTTGATGGGAAAACAAAACATCCATTTTTAAACAGATTTTTCATCAAGTCGACCGTTCGGCATTAATATTTCACTTGTGATGGTAAAGCCAAGCAACACAGTTTACAGAGCAGCGAGTCAGATGTGTTTGCTTCTCTGAGCGCATGAGCCTGAAGGAAAATAAATCTCTTCAGTCACTCTAGGTGGCGAGTTTCGTCAATTTATTAAATTGGAGCGTTTTTGCCAATCCCCCTTGCACGGAAAGCATTGTTTCTCTCTCTGTTTTATCCACAGGGCATTATGAATAATTAGAGTCCAAACACACAATCCTGCTTAGAGAGGACACCAGGAAAAGACCTGCTCTGCGCCTGATGCCAAACCAGAAACCAGAAGCAGCTGGGAGCGATCAATAATTCATGCACAGGCCGCAGAAGGGGCCACGCTCACTGTAATGCTGGTTCATGTAGATTATGTGAGCACATTATAAGTGCAGATGAGGGAGGAAGTCAGATTCAGTGCACGAGTAAAAGTAGAAATACCACATTGTTAAAAAATAAAAAAAGCCAAATATTTCATACAAGATGTGAGTAAAGTCAATTAGCAAAATACACTTCAATTATTAAAAGTAAAAGCACTTGACAATGAAATAATACTAAATAAAACAATGATGACCTGTTATTAAATTATTATTGCTGATGCATGTATTGAATTGTTGCTTCATTTTCTATATGTAAACACTTGGCAAAGTTAATGCAGTGCAGTAAAAAGAAGACAAGGGATTCCAATTTTTAAACAAATAAAAAAGTTTAATTGGACGAATTTAAGTTTTGAAAACGAGTTCATTTTGAAAATATTATGAGGGTTTTAGGAGGTTATGGAACAAAACGTCATTTGGATGACGGTCACCTGATCACACTTTCACAAACAGCACTTCAGTTTACAGTCATGGCCTCTAATGGGTTTCAGCAACAAAAAAAAAAAAAATTCTTTAATTTTTTTCTCCACTTGTGACGCTAAAGTCAAATTGAAACTTACTGTAACGGGCCCTTATAGAAATAAAGTGACGTCATTTCATCATCTTTTACAACATCCTCTGTTCAGGAGCGAGTCCAGGGAAAGGCATCACAACTCGCTTGGCTCCACCGATTTAAGAGCTGCTAAACTCCTTCTAATCGGGCCTGTTTGCAGAGTTTGAACTGGAAAGGATCCAGTCAGCAGGTTTACCTCAGTTGAACTAAAAGTGCTTGGGTCCAGCGCTGAGGCTGCTCCGCCTCATGCAGGCGACTGTGGAGCAAATAACTTCATAGAAAAGTACAGGTGCACAGCAGGAGAAACACGCATCCGCTCCCAGGACAACTAAAAGTTTTGCAATCTTGTAAAAGTTTTTTTTAATAAACAGAAAAATATGACAAACACAAATCATTGGAGAACTGTTGAAAAGGCTGACATTCCATCCGCAAACCCATGAAGTTTAAAACTGATGCCAGTGTTCAAAAATAAGATTTAGCACCAAACCACTTCCATTTTAATTAAAAACTTAAGCGGTTTCGCTAAAATGTTTAATTTATTAATTCAGACTTAAGACTTTGGTGGCACTGTGAGTAATTTGTTAAAACGCAGCGCACTACTTTGTGTCACCAGGTGTCAGCTGACAGTTTGCAGTGATGTGTCTGTTTTCCAGTGATTTGTCAGACTCTAATTTCTGAAAACACATAAAATGACACCAGGACCGATCATTTGGTGCGTGTGCGTTTTTCCTTTTGTCTTAAATAACGTTTTGGAGCGTTTTTACGCACGTTAACAAAAACTCTGAGCGGATTTTTTATTTGTTTTATCTATTTTATTTCAGTTATTTATCATCCCCGTTTTGTAGTAGGCTACGTGCATGGTGACAGCGCATAAAGGAAATTCCACGTTCCCTGTGGGAGCGCACGAGTGCACCGCGCACAGATGCGCTCTGCTGCAGTTTGCGAGAAGAAACGTTCCCAAGATGTTTATCGGTGGAACGATTGAGTCCAAGTTAACAGATGAACCTCGGGCGATCTGATACGTCTCTGCAGCCAAACTGCGTCGCCGACCGAGGAGATAAGGTGCGTTTGGGAAATGTTTGTTTCTGTGTTTAGTCAGATTTAATGGCAACATAAACTTATCTTGAAAACCATAATGAATGGCCATTAGGACTACAAAGCTCTCCAAATGGTGCGCGTTCAAGGGCATATTTTAGTGTCATATCAAAATTACAACTCGAGTAAACCAATTTTCTCCACACGGGAATAAACACAGACTCAAGTGAACCGCAGAGATCAAGCAGAGAGGGATATCACAAAGTGTTTCCCAAACTGCAGCAGACTTCTCGAGCAATTAAGAGCGTTTGGCTTTGGATGGTAAAGGAAATAGCTTTCCTTGCTGTTAAATGTCACCAGAAACGCGCCTGGGGCATAAAGTGACCACTTTGTTTTTGTTTTGAGCGCTTACACCCCTCTCTGTTATTGCCATTGTCATGGAAGAGTGTGCAGGTCAAAGCTTAGACTACATAGACAAATCCTCTAGTCTCAACCAAAGATCATTAATCTCGGCCCCTGATATGAGTTTATAACTTTAAAATGTGTTTTTGTTTTTTGGTTGGCAATAAGACAAAATTGTTTGTACTTTACTTTGACCCAAAATGTTCTCTTTGCTTTTCCACGTTTCCAAAGAATGATCTAAGATAAAATAAAATAGAGCCGAAGCAAATGAACAGTGTGGTGAGAAGATCTGGTCATAACAGATTAATACTGTTATAATAATACATGTTGAGAAATGTGACAGCACCCAGGACCCTAGATAAAGCTGCAAATTGTGGCACAAGAAAGTAAAAACAATATATAACAATAAACATATAAAAATAAGAATATAATATATATTTAAATTAATGCTCTGGTGGATTTGCATGAGACAGGATCACCTGCATAAATATTGACAGTGTTTCTAAAATCTGGTTTCCTGACCTCTCCTTTTTTTTTTTTTTGTCCATGCAAATTCAGATTTTTGGTGATCTCGGATTCACTCACTAGCTATTCTTTAATTTCTCAGATTTCGATGATGGCTTGTTTTTTTTTCTTTCCACTGTTGCGTTTCTTGCCACAGTCACTAACCTTGTACCCAGTCACGAGTACAAAGAGCGATGTCTGCAGGAATTCCCTCAGGTCAGAGAGAAAGCTGTGTTTTGAGGACCTTCTTAGCAGCCTTTGCCTCACTGGCCTTTGACCCCAGCCAGCGCTCTTTAGTGAAAGAGCATAATCCACCTAACATGGATTTAAACAAACAGTGTAATCCATAACACTCAGCCGCTGCACACCATCTCATTCAGGTTATGAGCCCTGCTGCTGTTATGGCTGCGTTGCTTTGAGTGGGTGATTTGTCTCGCGGACTTTATTGTCCCCTGGCAGCAGGAGCAGGCCCTCGCTGTAATTTCGTGTTGTGGTTCCCTGCAGCAGCGCCCAGTCTAGATGGAAGAGTTTGGATGAGAAGAGAGTGTTGCATCTTGGGATACACCTGCAATGGAACCTCGGGGTGGAAAAAACTGTGGCTGTGGATCGCACGTCGTCGTGTTTTCCCAGCGCACGGCTCCGTGTGTGCCTCGGTACAGCTGTGTTTGTGGCCCTTGCACCCCTTGCCCTCGCCTGCCTCCCCGCCGCTTCAAGCCTCACCGCCCTCTCCCCCCCTCCTTCCTTAAAAAAGTTCATCAATATTTTGGTTGACCTTTGACTTGACCCGCACAATTAAACAATGGGATTTTGGGTACACTAAATGGCCTGGCTTTGCTACAGAGGGCAGACTAATGAGAGGATGTCGTCTTTAGTTTATAGTTCAGTCCAGAAATCGGTGGAGCGGAAAAACAACCCGACGTTCCGTTAAGCTGCCTCACGCAAACTTTCAAAGCATGGGGCACTTGGAATGAGCCTGGGCTTTCCAATGCCATTTACCTTCACTCATGTAACCTTCATCCCATCCTCCAACTTTATCTTCCCTTTTTAGCTGGATTTCCTCTTCCTTCCCCCCTGTGTTTTTTGAGCAACAAGTGGAACAAACACATTTGTTTCCGTGAACAAATGTAGAACAGTACTGTTGTGCATGAGCTGTCTTAGTCAGCCTGTGTTTGTGCGTGTGCGACACAAAGGCTGGTTTTTGTGTGTTTAGCTGTGTTGTTGATGTACTTTCCCCCCGGGTTTTGCCGGTGTTGCTTTTTCAGACTCTCCCAGCTGGAGTAACAACAGACTGCTGAGACACTTTCTTATTTGAAAAGGCAGACTCTGGCTCTTCTTCACCAGCACTCACAGGTATAAAAACACCTTGTAACTCACTACATTTACTTAAGTACAGTGCAAAACTACATTTGTAGGTACTTTTACTCTGCTTTATACTTCTATTGCATAAATAGGCCAAAGTTTCAGGGAGAAATATTGTGCTTTTTATCCACCTACATTCATCTGACTTGGTTTAGATATAAAACCCATAATAAGCTTATTAAATACTGTAACAGATTAAACCACAGGTTTCCAACCTTTCCTGCTTGTGGACCCATACACTTCTTGAGCAGTACAACTGAAAATGTATTTCTCATTTCTTCTAAATTTCTTAGTTAAAATGATTTTTGGAAATATTTTAGAGCCATTAAGATTTATGTTATTTATTTCATAAAATAGCAAAGAAAAGTTTGAAAATTATACATGTTTTTTTTTTTCATCTCTAACTTTTTGGAGATTTTTTTGGAACCCCTTTGGAGGGTGTAGACCTGCAGGCTGGGAACCACCACCAGGCCAAACTCCACATATTACACAATGAATGATCTGTGATGAACACAGGACAAGTACTTTTAAATTCCTGCTCAAGGTTCAGTTTTTTTAAATCCAGATTTAAGGTGCACACTCTTCAGAAGTGTCTGACGAACTATAGACAGAGAAAGTTGAACATCCAAGTGAAGTGAAAATAAGCAAAACACATTTTAGAGAAGAGAGGGACTTGAAATGTGACTAATTTTAGGTCAACAAAACATTGATTAAAAACAACCAAAAACTTTAAATAAAAATTGGAGAGAGCCCTCATTACACCTTGGGGTTGAAATAAAAATGTACAAAATGTTTTATGTCTTAATCATTTATTCTTGAATGTTTAACAGAATAAATAAAATATGACAAAAAAATCCAATGACTTACATTTAAGGGGGCTTTGTTAGTGGTACCAGGAAATAAATCTATCCATTTATTTATGAAATCTTAGCTAGAGTCCTGCACCTCTGCACTAAAAGAACAAACTATAGCCAATTACTAACATTTGTGATTTTAGACCTGAGCTCTTTCATTGAATACATGATGACATTTATGAAAATCTTCTCACTGTGTTTAAAAAAATTGAAAAAACACACTCAGATCTGTTCTCTGATGGTTTTCTGGGCTGAAGCTGAGCAGACGCTGCTCTGCACTTCAATGATTTATTAGTGCATCAGCTGTATGTTTTTCTAGTATAATGGCACAGAATCTATCAATGCCACGGCACTGTCACAATGGAAACATGTGTGCTGTTACTGTTCACATATCTCAAAGCCTGCAATATC